AAGCAGACTGAGGTTTACAAGCATGTCTTCCTGCATGCCATTCTACTACACATAGATATTACCAGATCATGTCAGTCAGAGGTACTTCTGTCTCATGCCAAAGGATCTGATGTCCAGGGAAAGGTGGTTAGCTGCCCAGTCATAAGCCAGTGAGTGATGGAGCTCAAATGTAAGACACTGGGGCCATACTTATTTTCACCAGTCCAGACTACTCCTCACCAAGACTCTGTAGAGACTTACATTCCCTATCTGATGCTCATGTATATTGTAGGTAATTTTGACCATGTAGTAAATTTAAAATTCTACATCCACTTTCTCTAGGAGCTTCTTAAGAAGTAGGTGATTATTTACATAACTAGTTTTCAATCAAAGATCATCTGTTGACTTCTTTGTCTTAAAAGTCAGAAAAGTATTGCTTTTCCTCCCTCCCTTCCTCCATCCCTCCCTACTTTCCCTTCCTTCCTTCCTTCCTTCCTTCCTTCCTTCCTTCCTTCCTCTGTATCTCCTATCCCCACTTCCATTTCCCTTGCCCCCATAGGCAGTCATTCTCTCCTGTATTTTTTGTTTGCATGGGCTCTTACATCATTTGTATTTTCTGCTTTGTGCCCCAAAATTTTAGTGAGTGTAAATAGCATGGTGTTATCAACCTCATTCCATTTCTTATTTTTATCACTAAGTATATGTTCTTAGATCTAGTCATGTCATTACGGATGCATATACCTAATAGTTTGCTTTTAATTACTGTAACAATCCCTGGTGGGCAGTGCTCCATTTTATCTACCTGTTCTCCAGCGGGATGTCCCAATAGACTCCAGTTCTCACTCACCACCAAAAACTGCGTCAATAAACTTCATACTTCAGTGGACATCATCCTAAATGATGATAAGTGAGAGATTAATGAGAGAATTTCTTGAAGATATAATTCCCAGCAGAATAATTTTAGGGTCACAGCATATAGTGTAATTATTTTAGTTTATTTTTATGAATTACTCATTAGAATTGCTATACCAGTCTACAGTCCCACCAGCAATGTGTGATGGTTTTTACCTGTCTCAATTCCTATGACATTCTGAGATTTTGTATTTTTCTAATTTTTGCCCATGTTCCTTTTGTAAGAGATTTTGAGTCTTTTCATTGAAACTAACAGGTTTCTGATTTCAATGGCAAAATTAATAGCTCTGTTGAGAGACATATAATTTTTCAGTATATTTTATTCATCTGGATTGCAAAGATTATCCATAAGATAGGCTTCCAATTGCTATTATGGTGAGAAAAAAAATTTTGAGGGTCATTATTAAGATGTGAGTAGGCCTTCCCTGCCTCAACACCTGACTCAGTCATATCCTTCTTCTCAACATCATGCTCTTTCCGGTCACATGCTCCTAGCTACCAATCAAAGCCTGGTATAAAACTGACACCCTGCTCTGTGCCATTGAAGTGATTTAACCCTACTCTAATTATCATAGTTTTCACAGGTCATTAGTTAGTTTTCTATTTTTCTGTGCACCTAAGTAGCATAGCACAGTGCCACACTGTTAATCTAACTGAACTGTTATTTATTAATTGTTTTGTAAGTATTAAAAGGTGGTCACTTATACATTTAATATTTCCATTTTATCTTACTACAGGAATGCTTTGTAGTTCTGAATTTTTTTTTTACATTAAAACCATCTTCCCCATGTTCTAAGATGGAAAATGGCATTTTAGCACAGCTCTGATTTAAGGGCTGGTCGGTTTCAAAATTGCTTCCTGGAAAAATCATGGCTTTGCCTGAAAATGCTTGTGATCTCACCACAATGCTAAGGTGGAATAACCTTCCAGCCTTGTAAGAATACTGGTCAGGAACCTTCACTGTCTCAGTGAATTGGTACCTCTCACCACGTCTTTGGCTGGCTTTCAAGTGTGTCTGCCCTCTTTTAGCCGTGTAGATAGAATACAACTCTAGGTTCTTCCTAAGAATCACTAACCTGGAACAGATAGACTGTGTTGATCAAAAAGCTGTATCGAGGAACGGGGCGCCTGGGTGGCGCAGTCGGTTAAGCGTCCGACTTCAGCCAGGTCACAATCTTGCAGTCCGTGAATTCGAGCCCCGCGTCGGGCTCTGGGCTGATGGCTCAGAGCCTGGAGCCTGTTTCCGATTCTGTGTCTCCCCCTCTCTCTGCCCCTCGCCCGTTCATGCTCTGTCTCTCTCTGTCCCAAAAATAAATAAACGTTGAAAAAAAAAATTAAAAAAAAAATAATAAAAAAAAGCTGTATCGAGGAAAGTTGTATTTAAAGAAGATAATTTGAGGAAAACATTTTTTCAGGTCTGTGAAGTTATTTGTGATTCTAGCCATTCCATGTAAATTCTCTGCCTGATACTTTATCTTGTAATTGAAGGAAATGAACTAAGTAATGTCTAAATCCCTGCAGTTCTGTGATCTACTATACCAAGTAGTCTCTGTGGGAAGAACCAGCTATATACCTAGTGAACATGGGGGACTCACGACTTTCTTTGTTTCCTCAGGAATGGTCTCCATGACTTGAGCACCCTCATGTCTGTAAAGTCACCAGGGCTTTCACTTTCTTCTCATGTCCAGGTCCGCTGGTTCCCAGTTGCACATATTTATTCTTTTCCATCAGCCTCAGGACCAGATTTTGCTTCCTCTTCTTTTCTAAAGTGTCCCCCATGTCCATACTTTTTTTTTATGGTTCCCATATCCTTCAGTAATGGTGGCCCAGTGAGATATAGCTTCTATAGCAGTACCTGACAACAAATCATATAGCCTTGATCAGTTTAAAAGTTATGTTCCTGATCTCACTGGGGACCAGAATTGAGCAAATCACTCCGTTTCTTTATCCATAATTGAAGCATAATGATAGCTACAGAGTGCCTATGAAAAATAGGTTAATGTCCAAAAAAGTCCCTAGCCCAGAGGTTGGCACATGGTAGGTGTTGAAAAGCAGTACACTGTCATAAGAAATGGAGACACTCGATTTTGACATGAAACTTCAAGAGTTTAATCCCATAGTGAGAATTTTCTCAGTTGTCTTCACTTTAGTCAAAGCCCATGTGAGCAGCTGGTCCGCTGCTGCCATTATTACATCCAAGAAGAAGTATTTTTCTTACTTTAGCATAGGTTTGCTTCCTGGGATGAGGTGGAAAGATATCAGAGAAGTTCATTCTGTGAAACAAAGATGAACTCATTAGTGTAGCCTGTGGTATCTTTGGTGCCATTCCCACAGTGCATGTCAACTCTCAGTTGAACAGATACAATCTGGAATGCATATTGTACATGATTTAAAGTGCTTACTTTTCCACATTTATTTATCTTCTATGAAAACATAAGTGAATAAAATATCATTTTATTATAAATTACTGCTTGCAACTAATAAGCCAGTTAAAATATTTTTTGCTTCCTCACGCATTCGTTTTGTTCTTATTCAAGCATATATTCCAAACTAAAAATTAATATTAAAAGCATATTAATGTAAGCAAAATAAAAGCTTGCCTTTTTAATTAGAGCAAATATGCAACTGCTACTTAGAGCTCCTAATGCAAAATTGCAATCTCACACATTGTAATGATCAGATCTTTTCCTGCAGTCTTCATGCTGTGGCATTTTAGATAACTTTAGTTCTGTAAAGGGTTGCATATAAAAGCAATGTATTGTTAAAACTTTCAATATACCTCTTGATTTTCATGCACAAATATCTGCCTTGTCCTTGTGAGAAAAAAATAAAATCTGAGTTAGCTTGGAATTCCCGGTTGCAATGAAAAAAAACTCTACATTTAACCTTCTGCTCTTATTATGTTAAGGCTACGACTCATCTCCAAACAAACCTATGACTGAGGTGATGTTTTGGAATAACATCCTGTGTTTTGGTGGCGCATCACTCTTCAGTGACATTCTGAGGTTGCATTGTATTAGCACATGATATTTTCCCCAGTTAATTGATATCCCAGGTTTGTCCAGGGGAAAATCTACAGCTCCCCCAAACATGCTTGACAAGTTATTATATTTACTTTAGTCAAAGCCCGTGTGTGCAATATCCCTCTTGGAGGTGGTCTATTATTGGAGTCCCATATGCTTTTTGTTTGGGAAGAAAGCAGTCACTGTGTCATACTGTTACATGGAGTATTCTTTTTCAGGGATGTTGTTCCCTTGGGGACCATATCAGGCCAGAGTTCCTTAGTCTAATAAGACCTTTGTAACTCTTATTGTATAAGAGTTCTGGGAGGGAAGCAAGAGTTAAACAGAAAATGTAATTCAAGCAACCATATTGGGCCACATGTGGGAAAACATGACTCTTAGTATTGGATTAAAAAAAGGTATTTGTTGTAAAAAGGACTGTGATGCGAAAACATTCAAGGTATTTTCAGTGTAAATGAAGCCTTTTGTGGCACAGGGAACTCGTAATATTTTAACATTTACCTTAGCTACTGAATATGAATAATCTAAACATACACCACACAGACTTGTCTATTCATAAATTTTATACTTAAGAAAGATATTATTAATTATAGAAGTCCTGTATGGTGATATCTAATCTAAGATTTTCTTGTGTGAGTTTTCCCATCAGTAAAATGATGTTTAATCCATATAAAGATAATGATTATAGCAACATTATATACATATCATTACTCAGTAATACAAAAAATACACTCATAAGAATTACTCAATTTAATTGTTATACTTCACCAATTGAGGACAGACATGCTGATTATGGTCCATAAAGGTAGAATTTTGAAAGTGAATTTTGCACAATGAACACAGAAGCTCTTCAGATTTTGTGGTGATTTCTAATGAAGAGAATTTTAATTTGCACATAGAACTTTTGATACAGAAATCAAAATAAACATTTAATATACTTGACTATTTTGATTAATCATGATAATATAAAATATATTTTCCAAAATGTGAACATTTTACAGTAAAATTTATGACATAATGTTTTGAGACTCCTTTCTCTTTTTCTTTTTCTTTTTCTTTTT